TATTAATCGCTTTTAATTATTTTAAAACGCTTTTAGGAAGTTTCAATGTTATTTAAAATATGCCTTCAACCACGCCACATGAAATGCACCCGCGATTCGCGACACGTTCTATTTAACGTTGTTAAGAATTGAAACTGGGTCACATGAAATGTACACCCGAATTAATAACTAAAGGAAAACCGATTTAAAGAACGCGCCTAAAGCAACTACGCAAGTTCAAATTAATAACAAAGTTCGCGAGGGCCATGAAAAATTCAATTGATGGCGCACCTTGATTTTTAAAGAGTTAGTATCAATTACATGAGGGCCATGTGTTATTTAATGAAAATGGCACACCTCAAATTTTCTATAAAAGCTAACTAGTTTTGTGAGGGCCATGGGCTTAGGAGTTTTGTTTGGCATGGCACGCCTCAAATTATTTCCAAGGATTTCTAATTGTATACATGCTTGAGGAGTTAAAATTAATTAAACATCACATTAAAGGACTCAAAATGATCCCAAATGAAGATACGATTGGGCCAACAATCCAAATCGGCCGTTCCATGGCTTTTCTGAAATGGCAGGCCTTTATTAAGATGAAACAAATGAGGTCCAATGACCTCTGCTAGGCCCTTCGGCGGGTTAGACCCACTACACATTGATAAAATCCAATGAAAATGTAAGACAACTGATAGTCCAACTTCGGATCAAATCAGTTAATCCAATTATAATCACAATAACTAATCCCCTAGCCTATATTTTAATCCAACACTATGCACGAATTAATTACTAAAGATTACCACATCTAGATTGATATATAAAAGGCATGTAGATTTAGTCACATGCTATTTTAACTGATGAACTCCATATCTTACTAAATAGACAATGATCCAATCAATTTAGATACTAACCAAATGACCTAATAAGGAAATAAAACAAACCTAAGTAACTTAACCAAATTCATAGCAATTCTCGAACTACTTGTTTTTCAACTGAAGAATGAAGCAAACAAAATTTTATCCAAAATAATGAATCCTAACAAATGACCAAATAGGCACAAAAAAACACAAACTATATTAGGAAATATTTGATTCGTATAAGAATGCAAATCTGCCGAAACTATCCTTAGCTGACTTGATAGTCACAAACGAGAAGAATAGGCCAAAGTTTTTTAAAAAACCCAACAAATTTCCACATCCTATCTTGAATCAATGAAAATATTATGCAAAAAGGTTTTCAAAGAGAACTTATTTGATCTTTAATTAAAAAATACATCAACAAATACTGTTAGGCCGGCTCCAATTACATCAGGAATTAACCAAAATAAATCCATATTATTGACATATACTCTTGAGCTTATGAAGTAAACTGAAAGTCCAAACTTACGATTACAAACAACTACATAACATTCACTGAAATTATACCAAGTTCAGTTAAACTTTAAACAAAACCAATTGACAAAATTAAGCTGTGACAAGAATACTAAGATCAAACTTTAAATAAGGCTGAAATTTAGACATTGGAACACCATCTTTCATTCAATACTCAATATTTTCACTCCAAGGATTCGAAAGTGTACCTGGATACAACCAAAATAGCAACAGAATTTTAAAAGAAGAAGGTAAGATCAGCAGTAATTCAGTAGGGAACTAGCAATCAACAACAGATCTTAAAACAACAACCAACAACAGCTCAACAGTCAACTTTTCATGTTTTGAAACCCAGAAATAAGGAGCAATTTAAGAACCAAAGAAAAAAGAAAATGCCAACTTCAATAGAACAGTAATGGTGATTTTGTTTTTGTATTTTTTCTTTCTGATTTTGCAGACTCTCTCAATGTTTGTATTTCTTCAGCCGTTTCTAGCTCTTAGTCTTCTAAAAATTGCCCCCATTTTTATGAAAAGCAAACTTAAATAGAAGGTCCCACGGCAGCAGAATTGGTTTTAAGTTTTACCAATTACCCATTCTCCAATTTTCATTTTTTCAACTTAGACCCTGATTTTTAGTCTCTTTGTTAAGTTAGCCCCATTATCCACTTTCCTAGCAGCTTCCTAGTTATCTAGGACAAATTTCTTTTATCCAAATTCCCTAAATTACCATTTGAATTCCTAGTATTAACCTTCCTAGCCTAAACCAATGCAGGCCACCTAATTCCCAAGCCTGGGCCTAAACAAGTGGGCTTCTAATACCCCAGGTCCACCTTACCATAAACCCCAAAAATGGTCCCAAATCAGTAAAGTAATGAAACAAATCAAGTAAAACCAAAGGGCTCGAAATAACCAATAGAACCCAAACGTGATGAACCCAAACCCACTTACTAATTCAGCCTACGATTGGCTAAAGAAATAAAGAGAAGAGAAAAAGAAGAAAAGTAGAACTGGGCATAGTGGAACCATTTAACAAACCAACAGAACTCTAATTTAAACAAAGAAAACAAGATAAAATTGACCTACTAATTTGAACAAACCATAGCAGAATTAAATGAACGAGGGTATGGTAAAAAGAAATAAAATCAAAATCGGGAGGCAAACAAAGTTGAAGAAGAAACAGGCATACAATCAAAGGAGAAAACATGTACTGTTTTACCAGAAACACATGAGTGAGCGTTGCTTCGACAAATCTGCCGGTCTTTGGCCTTGCATGGGGATGGTGGACTTCGAAACGAGTTGAAATCCATGCTAATTACTCATCCTCAAAGAGAATAGTTGACTGGCATAGGTTTCGACCCATTATCGGCCCAGAAAAACTGCTTAAACTTGGAAAATGGAGCAAAATTAGGGTTTCAAATTTTGACATCAGATTTGGGATTTGGAGGTAAGAGTGGGGATTTTGGGGATATTAGTGTTAAATTCGTGTTCCATGAGGTGTGGGGATTGTGTGGTGAAATTTTGGTGGAATTTGGAGCTCAAACGCCGGTGGGAATGTCGGAGATTTTTGTGGGCGGCGCTAGGGTTTGGCTTGAGAGAGATGAGAGAGAAGCTGAAGAACAGTACTTAGTCCTAGGTTATTCTGATGAGGACTTGGACAGTTTTAAGTAAAAATGGGGATAGTCCTTATGGCCGTTGTATGAATTAAAATGAAAGGCTGGGATTAACTTAAAGCTCTTGAACTTAAAACGACGTAGTTTCGTTCCTATACTACGTCGTTTCAAGGGTCTCGGGGCTGAAGGCTTGGACCGGTGTGGGTGGAGTTTGGGCCTGGACTGGGAAGAATTTTGAGTGGGTCTTCAATTAAAAATGGCCCAAAATCACAGCCTTTCCTTATTTTCTTTTCTTTTTTTTTCAATTTTCAATTTTCATTTTCCTTTCAAATTAATTTAAAACCTAAATTAACTCTAAAACTAAATTAATTTACCAAATTAAGCTAATTATTCATCATAGTATTTACAAAACTAATTAACTCCTAAATTAAAAGAAGAACTACAAAATTTAAAACTAAAAAGTTAAAAATGCAAAGTGAGCCATTTTTGTGATTTTTCATTTTTATAAAACAACTAATTTACTAATTAACCAAAAATGTAAAAATAAATCCCAAATGCCATGCAAAGTGTTTTTGTATTTTTTCATGATTTAAATAAAATAAACATGCACAGACAAATGCAAACAATTAACAAAATCCTATGAAAAATCTACAAAAATTGCAAATAATGGGAAAAACATTATTTTCTTAGAGTTTATGAGAGTAATTCCTATAGGGCAAAAATTACGTGCTCGCACTTATCGTTTAATTTGACGTCCAATTAAATGGACTAGCCCAATACATATATATTTAATTTAAGTAATTAGCCCAATTTACTAGCCACCATATTTGCATGGACTAATATCTTGAATTTAATATGGTCCAAATTATTTATGAATTTAAATCCGATAAATTTAAATGTTTATAAATGCCCCTACTTGAAAACTTGTTGTTTTGAACTTCGAAGACTAGTCTTGAAGTACCAACTATATGTGATAATTTCCCCCCACATAATTTGACATCTTGTTTCATTTGAGTATTTGGCAGCATACGTAAATGCTGCAAGGCTACCAATATTTGTGTGGTAGTCAATCGGCCTATGTAACACATTGATTCAATATTTATTAATCATTTTAGCATGTTGCATTTCTTTTTCTATTACGGTAATGCCTTATGCATTTGTCTTCCAATTGGAAAGGGATTTGGTCCTCTCTTCTTTTTAAGGATGTAAACGCCCAGTCAATTCTCACGTAAAGAGGGTATTTGGCTAAGCTTATAAGCTTGTCAAACTGCCTTATAAGTATTTTTTTGGCTTATTTATGCGTTTGATAAAATTAAAAGTGCTTATAAGTTAAAATTAAGCCAAAAGCCATAAGTTGGTCTCCCCCAACTTATCAAATTTCAGCTTATAAGCACTTTAGGTTTGACCAAAATATTTACTATTCTATCCCTAAAATAATTCTTTTTAAACAAAACTCCTCGTATACCCAATTCTTCTTATTATTAATTTCAGCACTTTTATCCAAATACGTAACTGTTTATTTTTTAAATCAGCTTCGTCACTTAAAAGTGTTTTTCAGCACCTAATCCTTATCAGCTACTTAAATCAGCTAAGCCAAATGGGCTCAAACTTATTTCCTTATTTTAAGGAAATGATGTTGTTACCGCGTTTTGCAGAATTAGTCAAAAGATGGTAATTCATGGTAATCAAACACTGTTAAGGCTTCTTATCCATACTTATCCCATGAACTTCTTGCCATTTCACTACTTGGGATTAGCTTGATTTGGAATACTCCCTGACTTGGTCAGTCCTCTACATTAAATAGGAAAAATATTTTCAGGTTCCATACGTGGCAATAGGTGGCTTCAAGATCATCCTTTTGCATTGCTTTTGCACTTATCTTCCAATAGATAAAGGATCTGCTGTCCTTTATTTAAGGATTCAAGTACCATTCTCATTTCCTTATTTTGAGGAAACAAACTTGTTTAGTATTTGTAGAATTCATTCCATAAACAACAACTCGTAGTTGTGTCCATGCCTATAAATACTAGCCTTGAGATACAATTGTAATCATGCGTCCCTGATAGATGACCAAAGCAGACTCGAAAGTTGGCTTCTCTTAAGTGTTTTCAGTTCATTACATAGTGCTCTCATGAATCTGCGTGGACTTTTACGGGTTTAATCGTCTTGTACATGTAAATATATGAATTCATACTGATTTTCTTTCTTTTTTTCTTGTGCATCAAGCAGGTGACACCTTAAGGACTTAAATTTATTTGTCGTTGCCAGGTAAAGTTCTTTCCTTTTCTTATACATTCTTCTACTTTTCATTTCTTTTTCAAGGCTCAAAAGGAGTCGATTCTGATACAAACACTAATTTTAAAGTGGTACCAAAAGTTTACTTCGTTCAGACAGAAGACTTTACCTTATTCTGTTCAAGCGAAGATTTTTCGTTATTCCTTTCGAGCCGAAGGCTTTACTTTACCTTGACCAATGAGAAGGCTTTACAATGTTCAGAGTAAAGATCATTAAGCTGTCTAAACTGAAGATTTTATGTTGTTCGATGTAAGGACCATTATACCGTTTAAGCCAAAAAATTTATTTTATAATAAGCAAAGATCATTACATTGTTTAAACCAAAGACTTTACTGTATACGAGGCAAAGACCAATATATTGTCTGAGTCAAATATTTTACTTTGTCCGATCAGTAGACCGTCTAAGCCAAACTTTATTTTATCTGAAACGAAGATGATTACACCGTTCGAGCCAGAGATTTTATCTTGTCTGAAGTGAAGACTATTACACCGTTTGAGGCAAAAATTTACTTTGTATGAGGTGAAGACCATTACACCATCTGAGCCAAAGACTTTACTTTATACAAGGCAAATTATATTACACCGGCTAAGCTGAAAATTATATTTTGCAAAGGCGAAGACAACCATCTAAGCTGAAGAGTTTACTTTGTCCGAGGCTAAGACCATTATACTGTCTAAACTGAAGACTATATTTTGTCCAAGAATTTGACTTTCTTTATCAATGGCAAAGACCATCACACCAAAGACTTTACTTTTATCTGAGGCAAAGACCATTACACCGTCTGAGCCAAAGATTTATTTTGTCTGAAGCGAAGATCATTATACTGCCTGAGCTAAAGACTTCATTTTATTTGAAGCGAAGACCATTATAGAGTCTAACTTGCAGATTTTATTTTATCGCCAAAAGATTTTACCTTTTGGTGCAAAGGAACAAAAGCTCGTCCTCATTTCGAGATGCACGAATCAGAGATTGTATGAAGCATGATTTCTTTTTCAAAAAGCTGACCACCAAGAATATCTCTTCAATTTGGATCTTCACATGTAATTTTATGATCTCCTTTATATAGATATGTTTTTTTTTTTGCAGGTAGAATAAGAAATCAATTCCAAAGATATCACTTTAGTAAAGAAAATCTCGCAGTTGAAGGATCCTCTTTCTGCAACACAAATCAAGTCATGCAAGCCAACATTTTAAATACTTCTAGTTGAAGATTTAAAGACATATTAAAATCTTCCTTCTAATAGTTCAAGATCTAAATATTAAAGATGGTGCAGACTATATCAAAGGATTTTACTATACACTTGGAGATAGACTGAAGCTTCCAATTAAAGAATTGAAGGCTATATCAATTTGAAGACTATTATGGTGGCTTTTGATTGGCTTTCAATTGAAGATTAGCTTGTAAATTTCAACTTAAAGACATGGCAAACTTGAAAGCCTCTACTTGAAGACTTGACAGATTTGAAGACTTTAAGTTGATGATTCAACTTGAAAATTTTGCAGAATTGAAGACTTCAACTCTTGGCGAATTCGAAGGCCTTAACTTGACTTGGTGAATTTGAAGACTGCAACTTTAAGACCTAGCGGGCTTGAACACTTCAAATTAATGATGTAACAGACTTGAAAAAATTAACTTGACTTAGAATTGGAGACTTCAAATTGAATATTTAGCCTCTTATTAAAAAAACTACAATCATTCCATCAAAAGACTCAATTTGACATGGAAGGCCTGCCCCCATTGAGCCATCAAGATAAGATAGAGAGTTCAACGAAAGAATACATGTATGACTGACTAATTTTCAAGTGTCAATCAAGTGAATTTTATTCCATCATACCTCATTTGAATAATGCCTTGGGTAATATGTATTTTTGAACTCATATGACTGAACTTAGAATGAAACTCTAAGTTGCCTACGTACCTCGGTGAAGAGGATCAAGTCATTCCATAGTTAGAAATGGGTGAGTGTTTTTTTTGCGTCCTAACTTTTGCCTAGGCTGCCTTTTTCGAGGTCTTCAATCTAGCAGACTTTTTTTTTGGATGTCCTAACTTTTGCCTAAGCCGTCTCTTTCGAGGTTTTCAACCTAGCGGACTTTTTTGTGGGCCGTGCATAGTATATACTCTTGCAGGTCAGGAGTAACATGCAGTTTATGCTCGTGCATCAAGGAGCGTATTTGTTTTCTTCAAGGATAGTATCTCTTCATGAATTTCCCGTTGATGGGGCTATTCCGCAAACCTTCCAAGTCAACTATCTTGTAAGCGCCACTTGAGTATACCTCTTGTACGATATATGGTCCATCCCACTTAGCAGAGAATTTGCCCCCACATCAACGAGAGGTAATAATAGGCCTTTTGACCACAAGAACTTGGACACCCACTTGGAAAGATCTAAAGCGTACCCTTTTGTTAAAAGATTGAGACAGGCGAGCTTGGTAACATTCAAGGCTTTGTTGAGCTTCTACCCTATTTTCATCAAGAGATTCCAATTCTTTAAGGCGTAACCGAGCATTTTCTTCATCAGTGAGTCTTTTTTCAATGGCCAGCCGCAACGATGGGATTTGATGCTCAAGTGGAAGGACTGCTTCAACTCCATAAATAAGGGAATAAGGAGTCGCTTTCGTTGGTGTGCGATATGTGGTCCTATATGCCCAAAAGCCTCTTCCATTCTCTCATGCCAATCTCTCTTAGACTTAGAAACAACTTTTTTCAACAATTTACAGAGTGTCTTGTTAAATGCTTCAGCTAGTCCATTAGCAGCAGCATAATACATGGAGGAATTAAATTGCTTGAAGCCAAAAAGATCACATATTTTATTCATCAACTTTTTATCAAATGGCTTACCATTGTCCGTCAATATATATCGTGGAATGCCAAATCGATAGATAATATTGACTCGGATAAAGTTAGCTACATTTTCCTTCTTTATTTCCTTAAGAGAAAGAACTTCTGGCCACTTCGAAAAGTAATCAGTTACGGCCAAAATATATAGATGTCCACCAGAAGACTTCGGCAGTGGACCAACAACATCTAAACCCCAAACATCAAATGGCCAAGAGGCAACAGTTGGGTGTAATACTTCAGGCGGTTGATGTATGAAGATAGCATGGAATTGGCAAGCCTCCGAGCGTAATCCAAATAATCTTTCACCATGGTTGGCCAATAATATCCCATTATTTTTATGTTGAAATGAAGTTTTGGCCCAGATTGATGCACACCACATACTCCAGAGTGTGCTTCTTGTAAGGCTCGAAGGGATTCATCAGTCCCCAAACAATGTAAGAGCACTCCATCAAATGATCATCTGTAGAGTGTATTCTTGTAATAAAGAAAACAAGGGGCTCTCCTTCGGATTTCCGTTTTCCTTCGTGGATTTTATGGAAATATATCGTAACAAAGATAATCGATTAATGGTTATCGCCAGTCTTCAATTCCAACCTTAAGAACGGAAGCAATATGCTCAACTTCGCTTTCTTCTTCCTCATAGCCATTTGGTGGAGGAACTACCCATCTTTGGCAAAGAACGACTTGTGTCTGATTAGGCAAAGAAAATTTAGAAGCTAAGGCTGCTAATGCATCATATCTCTTATTTTCCTTTCTCGGCACGTGTTGAATAGTTACCTCTCCAAGTCAACTTACCAATCGTTGAGCATATTTGTGATATGGAACCAACTCTGGCTTCTTGACCTCATAGCTACCCAAAATCTGATTGATCACTAACTTGGAGTCTCTAAAAACTTGTAGTTGCAATTGTTTGATATCCACAGCCATTTCAAGCCCAAGTATGAACGCTTGATATTCAACAACATTATTGGAGCACCATTGTTTCAGAGTGAAAAAATATGGCAAAACTTCTTCTTGAGAAGTGATAAACACTATTCTAGCGCCAACTCCTTCACGATGTGTAGCGCTATCAAAATACATCTTCCAAGGAGGTTGAATTTCTATGATCATTGCATCTTCATCAGGCAATTCATCAGACAACTCCCAATCATCTAGAATCGGATGGTCAGCTAGGAAGTCTGCTAATGCTTGTCCTTTTACTGCATTTTGAGGAACATACACAATTTCAAATTGTTGAAATTGTAGGTACCACCTCGCTAATTCATCACTTAGGACTAGTTTAAACATGACAAACTTGATGCGGTTCACTCTTGAGACGAGTCGCACAATGTGGGTTTGGAAGTAATGCTTCAGCTTCTGAATAGAGAAGACAAGTGCCAAACATAACTTCTCAATAGGAGAATACTTGAGCTCATTTGGTGTCATCATCTTACTCAAGTAATAAAGCACATTTTCTTTGCCTTCACTGTTTCCTTGAGCGAGAAGCGCTTACACAGACCTTTCCTGTGCTAAAATGTATAATATTAATGGCTTTCTAGGTATTGGGGCTGCCAATACTGGAGGTTTCATCAGATAAGACTTAATGCTTTCAAAAGCATTTCTGCAAGCTTGGTCCCATTCAAAAGGAACCCCTTTCTTCATGAGGCGGCTAAATGGTTGGCATCTTCCAGCCAGATTCGAAATAAATCTCCTAAGATATGCCAACTTACCTTTCAAGCTTTTAATTCATGAATATCTTTAGGCTCGAGCATTTTCAAGATAGCATCTACTTTAGCTTTATCAATTTTGATACTTCGATGTCGAACAATAAACCGAGGAACTTCCCAGAAGTAACTCAAAAAGAGTACTTCAACGGGTTCATTCTGAGTTGGTATCTCCAAAGCCGTTCAAATACCATCCTTAAATCGTGCAAGTGATCATCTTTCTTCCTTGACTTTACCACCAAGTCGTCAACATAACACTCCACGTTTTTATGAAGCATGTCATCAAAAATATTTTTCATGGCACGTTGATATGTAGCACCAGCATTCTTCAAACCGAAAGGCATTACCTTGTAGCAGTATGTACCTTTAGGGGTGCGAAATGCAGTAAGTTCTTCGTCCTTCGGTGCCATGCGAATTTGATTATATCTAGATGAACCACCCCTGAAAGACATCGCCTCGTATCTAGTTGTATCAATCATGATCTCAGGGATAGGAAAAGGAAATTCATCCTTAGGAAAAGCGTTATTTAGGTCCCTAAAGTCAACACAAACTCGGATTTGGCCATTCTTCTTTCTTACAGAGACGATGCTTGAAATCCATGTAGGATATTTAACTTCACAAACAAAACCAGCCTCAATAAGCTTGTTAACTTTGGTTTCAATCAAGGGAACCAGTTCAGGTCTGAAACAACGTTGTGCTTGCTTCACAGGACGAGCACCTCGTCTGACAGCAAGATGATGAACAACCACCTTGGGGTCTAAACCTGGCATTTCTTTGTAGCTCCAAGCAAATACGTCTTTGAACTCCTTAAGCAGCTCAATATATTTGCCCTCTTCATCATTAGTTAGAGAGGCACTGACATATGTGGGTTTTGGATCTTTAACTACTTCGAGATTGACTTCTTTTAGCGCATCAATCGTTGTCTTCACCCCTTCTTCAAGCTCAGGTGGTGTATCTTTAGCGTCTTCATCTTTTTGAGGATCACCATTATTAAAAGATATATGATGACATACATGAATATCAAGGCACTTTTCCTTGACTTCCGTATAAGATGAAACATTTTGTTCATCATAAATGGAGATATGATATGATGACCCCACACTATCTTCATCTTCCTCCCATTCTCTAGTGTGTACTATAGTATGAGCCTTTGCTTTGAGGACCTTTTCGCACGAAACTACAAGTTTGGTCTCTCGCCTCATTCTAGAAGGAATCAAACTTGGGAAGTCTGTGGTCAAAATCTCCTTTTAGCGAAGATAGGTGCTCCAATCCTTCTATCACTTCCATGACGCTTGTTTTCCTTCTTCAATGGTCCCAACCTATCAAAGACTGAGGTCCTTGGCTTTGTAAGTCGATTAAACACAGAAGGCTTCTTATTGAGCGTCGTAGACACTTCTTTAGCAGTAATGTAATTGCAACTTGCTCTTTTAATGGAGATACGGATTGGCGAGGGTTGTTTGTAACCCAATCCTTTACGTGATTGCTTCAGTGGGTACGGCCAACAATGGCAGAAAAGTGTAACAAATGTAGAATCAGAGGAATACCATAGAGATGTGCAGTGATTGTAACAACAAATTTTCGCGTCGAGAAAAATAAATAATCTAGACTGGAAAATTGCGTAACAAATGCAGTATTTAATTTCAATAAATGAAAGTATTACAATCTCTATGACATTCCTCTGATTTTTCAAGAATGTAAAGTATCTTAATGAGCTTGACTTTGATTTGATTCAAGGGCTTGTAAAGCTTGATATTGAATCTCCTACTTGAACTTGAATTTGGGTTTGATCACGAACAAGTAATTTGATCTTGAACGCCTTGGTATTTGATTTTATTGCTTTTCTTTGATTTTAAAATCTTAGGGTCCATTCCAGTGCATGTAAATAAATTTCTTTTAGCTGGACTTGTATTGCGTCCCTTTTTTTTGTCCATTTAGTATTTGTTTGGATTTAATACTTAGCATTTTAAAAGCCAACTTGACATGTCTTTGAGAATTTCTTGAGTTCCTCCTTAACCGTATAAAATCAATTAGAGCATTTTTATATCTTCCCACAGGTTTATGTACCTCTTTTCGACAAATATTCTTCAGTTATTTTGCTTGTCATGCAACCTTGTCTGGCGAA